AACAGCCCATCGTTTTGTTTTTGCATGGCATTTAAAAGCCTTCTGGGGGGTGAAACAAAGACAAATATTGAAAAATAATAATAATATAGTATTTTAAAAGTAAAGAACCTCATTTTTAGGGGAAATTATAGTAGTTTGATTAATACCAGCCTTGTACTTCTAATTACAAATCATAAGCACCATTCACTTATAACAGTTATGCTATTTTGTTTTTCAATTTTTTTGCATTTAGAATAATATCTTAGGAATTAAAATAGTAAAATAGATTTCAGAGGCCTACAAAATGTATGTTGAACATCCATCTTTTTTCATACTCACTAATTAAAAATGGCTGCGGACATTTTTTTTTTATCCTCTGAGATTTGCCAAATGCTATAGCTTTCGACATTTGTAGAATGATTTCTTCACCTGCTCAGTATGCTATTAACCAACTATAAGAATAGCTTGAGGATTTTAAGGGTGGGAAAGTTCATCTCTTGGCTTCTGGTTTTCAGCACACAAAAGTTTGTCACTCTATTAGTTTCTAAATTGTAAGAACAAAAGTAATTAATAAGTCTTTTGTCATGGATAGCAAAGAAAAAAATCCTTTTAGTATTTGTATGTCATCATGCCAGGCCTAGAAAATTAGCCTAATTTATTATTTAAAACACTGGTGGGATTCCTAATTGCATTCATCATTAGATATGACACGTTTAGACCGAAGAACCGTATCCAGTGAGAATTTTCCAGTTTGAATTTTGAAATAAAAATATTTTTCAAGAGATCCCTAGCTATTCCTTGTTACCATGACAACAGCCCTATTTGTCTGAGAGCTCAGTCTATGGCCAATGAGAGAGCAAGCAGCATCAACTAAACATACGAATACATCAAAGACAAATTCATATACTCAATCTGATCAGCTCAATTAATGTAAGAACAGAAGCTGAAGGGGGTTAAAAGAGGGCACCCATTCAGGATAGATGGAGCCCCTTTTAACAGAATACATACGCTGGCCTTTGGGGGGAGGAATTTAGCACACTGTCAAAAACATTATCAGAAAAGGAAAGTACTAGGCCTCCTACACCTAACAGATATGAAGCTGTCAGACAAAGAATAGCACTATTCATTAAATGACACTTATTTTCTCCCACTTTACAAGAATACAGCGAACAAAACAAGCAGGGGAGCAGCTGAGAAAGACACTTTTTTCTTTTCCTAGTGATGACAGACATGCAGCAATTATGGTGATAACTAAGGAATACTAAACAAGAAGCCAGACTCCGTTCTGTTTATCACCTCAAATTTTATGTTACCAAATTTGCATGCAACTCTTGTTTTCTTCTATTATTTAGGCCTGGGACAAATTGGATCCCTTTGTTTTTAACACGGTGCTTTCAGTTTTAGTGAAGAGCTTCTCTCTAAACTAAACACATTCTCTCACTTCTCCTCCTAAATGGCCATATCAAGTTAGAAGTGCTTTTTGAAGTAAGACATTTTCAAAGCACAACAAAACTGTTGTTATCTGTTGGGGGCAGGGAGAGGAAAAAATAGTGTAAAGTCATTTATTGTATAATACTTCAGTTACATGTAGTTCAAATGCGATATAGCGAAAGTCTTCTTAATTGCTGCCTTTTGGATACAGAAGAGAGTAAGAATACATGTGGTAGCTTTAAATGGATTCGTTTTAGTTATTTTAGAAAGTAGCACGCAATAGAAAGTGCCAACCTTGTACAGTTTCTAACAGGTGGAAGTAAAAGGGAGATCCCTCTGGGTTAGTAGGTTTAAGAATCTTATGTTTAAACCAAAATGATTTGATTTCTGACCCATTATCAAAAGTCTGCTACTTATATCTGCATGATCTTGGCCTGATTGATACCGACTTTGTAGCCATGTGTTCTATAATGTGCTGTCAGGAAAAGCTGACAGTTGCAATGAAAGAACAATAAATGCAGGACAGAAGTAATGTAAAGGTCCAGCCAGACTGTATGAAAACTGATAGCTGGGATATTGGCTCCTACGTAACCATGTATACCAGTGCCTTTGAGAATTTAGTTTGAGTGAATTAAAATGGTCTCCTGATACATGGAACAAGAGGGGGGGGGGAATCTTCATTTAGAGAACCTGCAGAGTTTGCCAAAATACTGTACTAAGAGAGTAGAGCCAATATATAAAAAAGAAACAGCCTCTCTCAAAAAATCTGGGCATGTCTGACACCTCAGAAAAACTGACACTTGAAAAATCAATAAACTTATAAGCATATCTAAAGTATGTGTAAAAAATTTGAGAAGCCTGTAAATTTAAGCACACTTACTTAGAAAACAATTGAAATCAATTTAATTTCTCAGTAAATATGAGTTGGATTCTGCCTGTGTTGTTTTTGGTTGCTGGTGGGCCAAGCAATCCTCTGGTCCTGTTATGCTAGCCACTGCTAAGCTGGTTTTAAACCAGCAGGGCTAGTTGTGATTCTGTAACCATGAACAGCAGTGTAAAAAATGCATTAAGACTAGTAAGGTGGAAAATCAACATAGCAAGAACAGCCACTCCCATAGCATCACTAACAACTCCATTGCCATCCAACAATCACAGTGATTCTCCTAAAAATTTCCCCTCATTAGTCTTGCATGAAAGACATCAGTGAACATGTTATGTTGGAATTAGGGGAGAAATTCAATTGGGTTCATATTTAAAGGCAAATTTATCAAATTCACACTTTTCCTAATTTTACAAGCATTCTTCAATCAAACAATAATTTAAAAAATGCATGTGTAATGTTAAAGTGTGCATAAAAATTAATATATTTGTGAAAATAGCATACAGGTGTGCATTATGTTTTGATAAACTAATTGCAAAAATGTGTACGTTAGTCAAAACTGCATATAAAACGTGTTTATTTGGATAAATTCAGACTAAAATGCTAAAATTTTCAGGAGAATTTTTTTTAAACTGAATTTAAGACTGGCAAAATGAGAAGCAGAACCAAAATTAACATATTCTTTAATCTCTAGGTGAAATCGTGGGGGGAAATTTCATAGAAACTACACTTCTCCTACATACTGTGCCGAAGCATACTCCCAGAAATGAATTCACAATGCCATCCCCAGCTCAGGCTTCCATAATGTACTGGGAAGTAGGGCAGCAACTGCTAAATGCAAGCTGATGGGCTTCCTAAAATAGGCTTGAAGAATCCCTTGACATTCCAGACACAGCCAGAAGCAGTTGGCAAACAATCCTTTTGACAGAAACACAGCCAGGGCCAGACAGGAAAAGAAGTGCCTTTCCAATCACAACAGCCAATCAACATCATGGTCCAGATGTTAGATGGTTTTTATGAAGAACTTACAGGCTACAGGCCCACAGGAGAAGGCTTTGAATCTTTCTGCAGTATTTATAAGATTTATTAGTTACCCTTCATCATGAAGTCTTAGGGCAGGTTACAACAAATAGGAAATACAGTTTTAAAGAGATAAAAATCACAACAACTTTCAGACATATAAAACTGTTCCAAAATGGAACACAGCAAATTCAGAAAAGGAGGTGGGTCACAAGAAACCACCTTAACTGTCAAAGGTCAGGGTAGAGAGGTGTGTCTTTAGCACATGGCAAAAACCATACCAGTGAAGATGTTAGATGCACCACTGTGAGGAGGAAGTTCTACAATTTAGGGGCTGCCACAGAGGAAGCCCTCTCTAAGTTGCCAGTCATCACACTTCTGAGTGTGGAAGAAGGTTGGTAGGATTGAAGATGGTCTCTCAGATATTTGGAGGCTATGTCCTACCAGTACCTGTGCCTACCTAGGCAATGCACACATTTCTGCGCACATTTGTACTGGATTTTGTGTGAGATCAACAAGCATTTTGCAAGGATGGGAACTTATGGATGGCACGTGCACATTGCAACAAAGAGGAAATGTGTCAGCAAAAAAGAAATGGGGACATAGATTTCCATAAAATTTGCATAGGCTTCTGCATGCAACCTGCATAGGCTAATTTAGAAGTATAGGTGCAAATTAGACATAGTTATTATAATTTAAATCAAAATACATATCTCACAATAGTGGGGGAGACTGTGGCTTGTGTGCAAACTGCTGATGGGCAACTTCAATGCCTGCCCTTGTTTTCCCCTTATATTAACTGAACAGAACCAAACTGAGGACACCTTCAGACAGAGGACTGTGCTCTGTAAATTAGAATACTACATCAGTAAAGTCACAGCGTGCAACAGTGTAAGCTGTCTGGTTGTCCAGCAGAGAAGAGCAGTACAATAGAAAGTGGAATATATGAATGTGACTTCTACAATGGCAAGCCTTTTTTTGTGTGTGTCTTGCTGGCACACAACCATGGTAAAATTTTTGTAGGTGATACCTTAAACCAAATGTTGTTGGACTACACCTCTCACCATCCATGACCATTCTCTAAGCTGGCTGGGGATGACTGGAACTGGTGCTCAAGAACAACTGGGTACCAAAGATAGAATAACTATGTTCTAAGAGGTCTAGCTAATGTTTACTTCTCTGCTCATGCATGGAACCCGGGTCTGCTAGCCAGATACACCAGGTTGTGAGGAACCTTATATGAAGCCATAGTTAAGTAGTAATTCAGCTAGGTAATTTTAGATCTTGGACTTAAGAGCTCCCCTTTTAGATATGTATTACTTACAGCACAAAACTGACAATATGTATGCTTAAGTTTTGAATACCGTTAATTAAAGATAACCATTACAAACCAAATACTTCCTTTAAATTATATAAGACATAAAGATTGATCTTGTATCTACAGTAATGCATTCTCTTTTTCAGGGGACCAACAAAGCAGTTTGCTATGAGTAAGGTGCAATGACATAAACCTATTGCATGCTGGAGGTTACCTTTGTTAGTTACAGTCTACATTTTTGCAAAATATGCATACTCCTGTTTTCATATATGTTAGTGGAACTCCTGGAAAACACAAACTACATAGAGCTGAATGCTATTCTAAGCTCAGCTAATCAGCAGAGAAGAGAGAGAAATATCTGCAACCTGCATTCAGGTAATGATGAAGTGTGTGTGTGTGTGTGTGTGTGTGTGTGTGTACACACACACACACACACACACACACACATAACTGCACCACCCACCCACAAAAAATGTATCAGTAGACTCAGGGTGCCTGTAAGGTGTGCAGGTAAGCAAAAAACCTTCAGAGAGAAAAAGAATCTAGCTCTACAATAACTCAGTGACACAGAATGTTGGCTGCCTGAGTATGAATAAAATAGACAATGAGATGGGAGGGGAAATAGAATGAAGTAGCTGGAATAGGAGGACAGAGAAACACAGAAAGAACTGTCTCAGTTTTTTTAAGAAGTTGTAAATAAATAAAAACAATAACGACACAAGAAAGAAACTTGCAATTATTTTACATTTCCATAAATCTATCAAGCTAAATTCCTAATAAATGTGTTACGTTATTTATATGTATAATAAACACAAAATAAATAAGAGAGCAAATGTAAACTGTTAGGATAGGTCACTTCCTAGTTCAAACATGGATTTATGCTCTTAGACATCAGTGGAGAAGATAAAGAAATAAATGTAGCACGGATTGGAAACAAACTGTGTTCTCAGGCACAGCCTAGATATAAGAGTTCCTGCTGTAACTCAGTTTTTATGTATTGTGAAACACTCAAAAAACAAAACAAAAACCCACTACTATAGCAAATTCCAAAACAAATGTACTTCATAGGGGTTGTTGCTGCACTAATGACAGCTGTGTTGTGTAATTCACACTGAATACTACAAATCAGTCTCTGGCTGATTTATGTCAGCCCTGCACTGACTATTACAGGTTGAGAGTTGGGCTGGAGCTAAGTGAGTAGCTTACAGTAACCTTGCTGTTTTATCCATTGCTTTTTTCACCGCATTACAGATTGCAGTGAGAGAGACGTATACAATAAGCCTGCAGTATAGCTCACTATTGTACTAGTAAGTGCAAGAAGAAGAGCTGTGCTGAGAGAAAATAGCTTACAGCACCCTTGCAATGTAGTCCACGGTTGATACTCCAGGCCACAGCTGGGGCTACTTAAATTGCCCCTTCACATCTCTTTCTAGGCCAAATCAAGCACTTAATAATTGTATGGAGACATCTCACGTTCCATTGACTTGCCTGTAGACTGGTTGCACTATTTTAACATTTAAAAGCAATAAATAATTTGTGCACATGAAGTAAGACCCAAATTAGAGTAGGGATTAAATTGTGTGCGTGCGTGCGTTTTAAGCCACCTCAGCAACACATTCAGGCAAAACACACATACCAGGGAAGCACTGCAACAAGGTCTTGCTTGTTAAAATAGTAACTGTGAATCCTGTTTCAAAGGTACCTGAATTTCTTGTGAATACTGAGTGCTCTTTTGTTTATCCTCCCACTGATAACTTTGATGAGAAGTTGTTTGCACTTTTGTCTGGAGTATAGCTTGAAACACAGTTGAAATCATATTAAGGTTTGTCAATTTCTTAAGTGCCAAAGTGAGTTATATTGGTTCCTGCTGTTTAGGGTTGAGTTAAGCTCAGGACTTTTTTCAGCTGGAACTTGCCAGAACTGAGTTCCAGCATTTCTCAGGTGGCCGCCATTGCCGTCATACAAGAACAAGGGAGTTCTGACCCCTCTTTTTCTAGAAAATAGCACTGTTCGTTTGCTTTAAAAAGTAATGGCCTTGCATTTGTATGGTTCTCAAACACTTCATCTTCTGTGGATTGGAGTCTGCTACTAGCAGCAGGAGACAAGCAGACTCATCACTGTTATACTGTTCTCCATTGTACATTGTTCAGGTTGGACCCCAACCTTCCAGAGAGATTTTATGGGGACATAGGTGTTTAAAAGGAAGGGAAGGGAGAGAGAACTTCCCTTCTATGAACTTCTTTAATTTCACTTATCTCAGGATCAATGCCATCATATTTTATCCCTTGACTCACATATAAAGAGGTATGATTATATATAATACCTCTGAGCAATGACTAAAAATAAACACGAACCTATCAGGTTTGATTATGAATATATATATTTTAACACTAATTTTTCAGTTAAAGGATATTTTAAGATTACATTCTCTTGTATTGCTTTCCTTGCATATTTTTTCAGTAGTTTAATGTTCTTCTGTTTAATTCCCCCCCCCCCCCGATTTACTCTTATTTTTTAATATATGGGATTCTAAAGTGAGTATATTGCACTTTTTGTTTTCATATTTCTTTTTTAACATAATATTCACCTAATTTATTCACATAGTATTCTTTTTAAACATAGCATTCACCTAATTTATTCACATTGCTATATGATTAAATAGTAACCATCAGTAGACAATCCATTTAATTTTCTTTGTTTAAAAATACTTAAGTCTGTTGTTGAATGAGACAATTTATTCAAACAATCTTATAAATATCATATTTAATAAAGAGCAATCCAAGGCAAAGAGAGCAAATGTCTTTATCCATAAGCAACCAGATGAGAAATGGATTTTTATTCAGTCAAATCTTTTTAGTCAATGAAACAGCACTTTCATGCATACTGCACTCAAGTGATAATTAATATAGTCTAATTCAGGACATGATGCTTGAATTGATGTACTGTCATCGATACCCCATGTTAGAATCAAACCTTGACAGGGGTTTAATACCCTGGAACAGGTCATCATATGATAATACTCCTTTTGCTTTTCAGTATTTGTCTTCAGCCAAGCAAAGTATTACAAGATGGGTTAAAAAAAAGGGAAATAATTACAAATGAAGAATGACGCAGGCTGTGAATAGAACATATGTTAGGCTAGGCAGAGGCATCAGTGAATTATATCATTTCATGATGAAGCGGCACTGGGGCTGAACGGACCTATTTTAAACCTTGATGTATTTTATCTCTACTGTATTTGGACTGTCATCTTTGGAGAAAGACTTTGTGTAATTGAGAGTCAACTCCAATCTGCATGACTTGAGCATGAAGTGTAGGCTAGATGAACAGTATTATGGAAGAAAGGGAAGCATCTAATAAGGTATAAATGAGTTATAACCTGTTATACCATAGACTTTCAGCCATATCTTGTAAAATACTATTTTCAGATATATTAATTTCAAATATGATGCTCATAACATAACATTTTAAAATTATTTTAATTACACACTGTTTTTGTTATATTGTTATAATATGCTATAATTTGCATATCCCTCTTTAGAAAGACTTAAAAATAAATTTAAAACATGAGGCTGTGTAGTACTGAAAAATTACTTTGAATCAAACAAGTCTGGGTTGCTTGAGTCAAGTGGTGGGGCAAAAATGTTTAATATTTTTTTTAAAATTATTGTATTTTAATATTTTGCTGGAAACTGCCCAGAGTTATTTATCATCATCATTATCTCTCAAGATTAACAACTTAAATATTAGGAAGGCACTTGAAGGGTTTAGAACATAAAAACCTAAGTTTCTTTAGAGAGATCCCCTAAGAAGTAGCATACAATAGAACAAAAATTGTTCCAGTCCTGTGAATCTATAACATAGTTTGAAGCTGTATGTGCTGCTTTCTGATCTTTGGAGGGGGGGCGGGGGGGAGTTCACAGGAATTCTTAGTCTGAGTCATAAAATACGATCTTATTGCTTCTTGGCCTTTTTAGCTAAGATCAAGTGTAGTATCTGCTCTTATCAGTTTAATAAAATACGATCTCATAATTAATTATTAAGTAGAATTATTTTTCTAATAGACTTTCCTGCCATGTTTTCAGTGGCTAGGTACCAAAATGGTGACTTCTAATGAGCAAGTGCTTCATGTTCTTTTTCTCTTTCAGAAGGCAAGTCAGTATTACTCCTATTTTACAAATGAGAAATGGGGAAAGATATAGTGACTTGGCCAAGGCTACTCAGCAATCCAAAGATTGAGCTACGAGTCAGTCTTGAACCCAGGCACCTACGCACATTATCCCCTAGCATATACTGGCTCTTAAAAACTAGGGGTGAACATTAGGTAAAATACAATAGGTAAAACACTGCATATCATTTCAAAGGCAAGATGTACTATTTGGTTTTCCTTCTTCCAGTGTGGGAAGTAGCACTTAATGTAGCACATCTCCTATAAGGGAAATATAATTGAACTTGCTGTCAGAAGTGCAAGGAGGAAATGTGAAAAATCTGAAGCTATTCTGTAAAGACTAACCCCAAAACATAATCTCTTAACAACTTTTCCTTTCCTCAAATGTTAAGGGTATGTGATATATGTATATAGATGTATGTGTTTTGATATATATGATAGTTATGTTATATATTTTGTCTCATTAAGAGGGGTTTATAAAAGTTTTTGTAAATTATCAGCTACTCATAATTAGTAATATGAAGTGGGAGGTCTATTGATGTACTTGCTTGGGGCTCTTGTTTTTTTCTAACCGTTCACCAGCCCCAAGTTCCACTAATTTAAAATTCAATGGTACTTCTGCTAGGAGTGTCTTTTGAGTACTGAACTATTGATCTTCTCTGGAAGCTCTTTTGAAAAAAGGATAAATACACGCCTGTCAGATGGTGAGCTTGGGCAAGACATGCTCTCTCTCTCTCTCTCTCTCTCTCGAGCACTCTTAAGGTTTTCATTTTAGTTGCTATGGTATGCTTCATCTTGAAGTATGTTCCACTGGTCAGAACCTTTAGTTCATCCACTCTTATTTTATGACAGAAAGTCTTAGATAATATGTTTTGCATTTGCACAAAAAAACCCTCAACAACGATAGCAAAGGAAGAAGCCTGTGCTTTAGAGAGTCCCCTGACTAAATTCTCAGAAGGTATATCTGCATTACTGACATGTGAGGTATGACACAGTAGTAAGAGTAACAAATTATATGGTTTCACAGTGAAGAGACATCAGGCTGGAGAGATTGAGACAAGGTAGCAATGATGTGCACTGGGCCATTGCAATCCCTGTTAGTTGCTTAAGCCTATCCTTATCTAAGAGCACTGAGGGCAAGGTCCTCTTCAGACCACCAGCCAGCACACAGCAATGGAGCTGGGCATCTTTTTAGTATCCTAGGAGAGACTGCTATGTGTGTCTCTACAAAGGTTTTAAAGGGAATTGGCTAGGCTTTGGGTAATTAATTTCTCAACAATCTGTTGATTGGCAGGACATGTAACTTACATGGAGGGTAACATGTGAATTGAATATGAATTGAATATTCAGGAAGGGGAATTGTGGTGGAAGGCTCACTGAATACGTCAACTCAATGCGCTTCAGTGGTTGAAAATTCAAATTCAGTGTAAGAAACTATTAGGAAAGATTGAGAGTAAAAAAAAAGGAAGTATAATGAGGCCACTAATCTATGCCATGATTACACTGAGAATTCTATGTGCAGTTTTAGCCACCTAGTATAAAATATTTTTTATCTGGTAAATATTTTACTTTGGTAAAAAAAAGGGGACCAGGATTGTCCCCACTTTTAAATGGAATTTTAGAAAGTTCATGGAGAACCTTTGGAGGGCTGCATGCCAGTGGTGGTCAATGGTGTCTTGAACTTGAATGCACTAATGCAGGAAGCTACATAGTGCAGAAAAGAACATTCCCTTTTCTGTTTATAGTTCTGGTTGGGCCCAAATTACCTTGGTTGCCCTAATGGTGGCCCATACTGAGAGAAGAGGGGTACTGTGACCCGACTAATTCTCCTAGATGTTTCAGGCACTTTTGACAGTGCTCCTGAAGGTAGGAGTCTATCAATTGATGAAGATGATCATCCAAATGTCATAGACCAAATGGAGCAAACAGCACGCAGACCTAGTGGTGGGAGGAAAAAATCCTTAAATAAGAGTCATGGGGGAATGATGAATGGACTTCAATGTCTGTACACTAATGCACAAAGCATGGGAAATAAACAAGATGAGCTTGAGCTCTTGGTACAACAAACTAAATATGACATAATAGGCATCGCTGAAACCTGGTGGGATAAGTCCAACAATTGGAATGTAATAATGGAGGGATACAATCTATTTCAGAGAAACAGACCAGACAAGAAAGGAGGAGGAGTGGTGTTATATGTCAGGGATGTGTATACCTGTGAAGAGATCCAAGATTTAGAACCTCAAAGCCAAAGTGAGAGCATTTGGGACAGAGAAGAATAACAGTGACCTCATTGTGGGAGTTTACTATAGATCCCCAAGCCAAACGGAGGACATAGATGATGCCTTCCTGGAACAGATGGCCAAGCATGCAAAAGGAAGGGAGATAGTAGTAATGGGGGACTTCAATTACCCGGATATTTGTTGGATGTCAAACTCAGCCAAGAGCATAAGGTCAAACAGATTCCTCACTGGCCTTGCAGACAACTTCATTGTCCAGAAAGTGGGAGAAGCAACAAGAGGAACAGCCATTTTACATCTGGTCCTAACCAATGTTGATGACCTGGTTAGTGGGGTAGAAATGGAAGGATCATTAGGCGCGAGTGATCATGCTCTTCTGAAGTTTACTATACAGTGGAAAGGAGCAGCCAAGCATACTAGGACTCAATTTCTTGACTTTAAGAAAGCCGACTTCATAAAACTTAGGGAAGTGCTGGGTGAGATCCCATGGACAGTAATACTAAAAGGAAAGGGAGTTCGTGATGGCTGGGAGTTTGTTAAGAGGGAGATAGTAAAAGCACAACTTCAGGCAATACCAATGAGACGGAAACATGGAAGGTGCCTAAAGAAGCCAGGGTGGCTATCTAAAGAACTTTTAACTGAGTTAAGATTAAAAAGGATGTGTACAAAAATGGAAAAGGGGGAAACCACCAAAGAGGAATTCAAACAAATAGCCAGCACGTGTAGACACAAAGTCAGAAAAGCTAAAGCACAGAATGAACTCAGGCTTGCTAGAGAGGTTAAAAGCAACAAAAAGGCTTTTATGGGTATGTTCAGTAGCAAAAGGAAGAACAAAGAAACAGTGGGGTCACTCAGAGGAGAGGATGGTGAAATGCAAACAGGGGACACAGAAAGGGCTGAACTTCTCAATGCCTTCTTTGCCTCAGTCTTCTCCGATAAAGAAAACAATGCCCGACCTGAAGAATTTGGAGCAAATGATTCAGCAGAGGAAACACAGCCCAGAACAACTAAGGAGATAGTACAAGAATACTTGGCTAGTTTAGATGTATTCAAGTCTCCAGGGCCAGATGAACTGCATCCAAGAGTATTAAAAGAACTGGCAGATGTGATCTCAGAACCACTGGCAGTTATCTTTGAGAATTCCTGGAGAACAGGCGAAGTCCCGGCAGACTGGAGGAGGGCAAATGTTGTCCCTATTTTCAAAAAGGGAAAAGAGAGGACCCAAATAATTACCGCCCAGTTAGTCTGACATCAATACCAGGGAAGATTCTGGAGCAGATCATTAAGCAAACAGTCTGTGAGCACCTAGAAAGGAATGCTGTGATCACCAATAGTCAGCATGGATTTCTGAAAAATAAGTCATGTCAGACTAACCTGATCTCGTTTTTTGACAGAATTACAAGCCTGGTAGATGAAGGGAACGCAGTGGATGTAGCCTTCCTTGATTTCAGCAAAGCATTTGACAAGGTGCCCCATGATATTCTTGTAAAGAAGCTGGTAAAATGCGGCCTTGACTATGCTACCACTCAGTGGATTTGTAACTGGCTGACTGACCGAACCCAAAGGGTTCCTCTTCAATGGTTCCTCTTCATCCTGGAGAAGAGTGACTAGTGGGGTGCCACAGGGTTCTGTCTTGGGCCCGGTCTTATTCAACATCTTTATCAACGACTTGGATGATGGACTCAAGGGCATCCTGATCAAATTTGCAGATGACACCAAACTGGGAGGGGTGGCTAACACCCCAGAGGACAGGATCACACTTCAAAACGACCTTGACAGATTAGAGATCTGGGCAAAAACAAACAAGATGAATTTTAACAGGGAGAAATGTAAAGTATTGCACTTGGGCTAAGGGAGCTGGGCATGTTTAGCCTGGAGAAGAGGAGGTTAAGGGGTGATATGATAGCCATGTTCAAATATATAAAAGGATGTCACATAGAGGAGGGAGAAAGGTTGTTTTCTGCTGCTCCAGAGAAGCGGACACGGAGCAATGGATCCAAACTACAAGAAAGAAGATTCCGCCTAAACATTAGGAAGAACTTCCTGACAGTAAGAGCTGTTTGACAGTGGAATTTGCTGCCAAGGAGTGTGGTGGAGTCTCCTTCTTTGGAGGTCTTTAAGCAGAGGCTTGACAACCATATGTCAGGAGTGCTCTGATGGTGTTTCCTGCTTGGCAGGCGGTTGGACTCGATGGCCCTTGTGGTCTCTTCCAACTCTATGATTCTATGATTCTATGATTCTATGACCACGGGTAGTCAATCTTTTTATACCTACCACCCACTAATGCATCTTTCTTTATGGTTAAATTTCCTTACCGCCCACCAGGACTTGATGGAAGGAGGATTCAGCTTGTGCTGTAGAACCCCTTACCACCCACCTAGAATCCTGAGATGCCCACTAGTGGGCGGTGGGGACCAGGTTGACAGCCCCTGTCATAGACCATGTTATCTGTCTGGATGGGCAGTCTGGATGGGATGTTGGAGGCAGTGCATTACAATAGTTCGGCTTCTACCAAGAGAGTTATTATCAGAAGGTGGTGCTGGGAGATTACTATTTGGCCTCATGACTGTTCCATTATGGTTCAACATCTTCAGGAAACTACTGAATTAGGTCATAGGGGGATTTAGAGTGCAGCTGGAGGAGAGAACTGAGGATGAAGAAAGAGCTGTGAGCGGAGTGGGGCCCTTTCTCCATCCTTCAGTGGGGCTTCCTTCTGAGTAATGTATGGTTACTGTGACATCAACCCACAC